TTTTTGATTTTAGCCATTCTGACAGGAGTAAGATGGTATCTCAGAGTTGTTTTGATTTACATTTCCCTGATGGCTAAGGATGTTGAACACTTTCCTATGTGTCTTTCAGCCATTTTAGATTCCTCTATTGAGAATTATCTATTTAGTTCTGTACCCCACTTTTTAATTGGATTGTTTGGTGTTTTGGAGACTAGCTTCTTGAGTTCTTTGTATATTTTGGAGATCAGCCCTCTGTCAGATGTGGGGTTGGTGAATGTCTTTTCCCAGTCTGTGGGCTGATGTTTTGTCTTGCTGACTGTGTCCTTTGCCTTACAGAAGTTTCTCAGTTTCAGGAGGTCCCATTTATTAATTGTTGATCTCAGTGTCTGTGCTACTGGTGTTATGTTCAGGAAGCGGTCTCCTGTACCAATTAATTCAAGTGTATTTCCCACTTTGTCTTCTAATAGGGTTTTAGTGTGGCTGGGTTTATGTTGAGGTCTTTGATCCATTTTGACTTAAATTTTGTGCATGACGATAGGCTTGGGTCTATCTGTAGTCTTCTACATGTCCGCATCCAGTTATGCCAGCACCATTTGCGCTTACATAGGTTTTGTGTATGCTGTCGTAACCACTGTTGAGTTCATACATACAACTGTCCTGTTATGTCCAGAAAACACTGTTTACTGATGTCATCAAACACCTCTGGCTCTTAGAATCTTTCCTCCCCCTCTTTCACAACTAATTCCTGAGCCTTTGGAGGAGGGTATGTGTGATATACAAGTCACATTTAGGGCTGAGAATTTCACAGTAACTAATTCTCTGCACCTTGGTGAATTGTGGGTATCTGTGTTAGTCATACTGTACTACCAAAAGCAGCTTTTGCTTCTGGGGTTAAGAGATGCACTAATCTATGGGTATAACAATGAGCCATTAGGAATTGTTTTAATAATATGTCCGTTAGTTTGGTTAAGGTTTGTACATCATGTTTATCTTTTCAAAGAAGCAATTCTTTATCTGTCTGCATTTTTTTAATATCTCACAAATTTCTGCTCTCATCTCAATTTTTTTCTGGTTTTTCAAGACAGGGTTTCTTTATGTAGCCCTGGATGTCTTGGAACTCACTCTGTAGACCAGCCTGGCCTGGAACTTGGGGATCTGCCTGCCGCTGCCTCGCTGGTGTTGGGATTAAAGGCATGTGCCACCATGTCCAGCTTAATTCTTTCTCTCTATTGATTCTGAGTTTCTTCCAAGGCTGTAAGATTCATCATTAAGTTATTTACTTATTTTTTAAGTTAATATGAAAACAGAAACTACATAAAATTGTTTATTAATTTGATAAATCAACATTGCTTTTCCATAGTATAATATGTGAAAATATTACATTTCTGAGAAAAACTGTTTCATCATATACTGAAATAAGAAAATCATTCTTTCATTTTCCAGTTTTATGTCACCTGAATTTTATAATTTATAAAACTTGACTTCATAAGCTACCAACTGTAAGAATGTTACCTTCCCTTTATATCTTCTTTTTACATTTATTGTTTGTGGATTCATATCATTCATTCTGATTCCACTTATCTCCCTGTCCCCTTGCATACACCCTCTGCACTTTCAACACCCCCCCTCAAAAAAAAACAAAAACAAATTTAAAAGAAAAAAAACTAAAACTAAACAAAAGAAGAATAAAAACAAAACCAAAAAGAATCTTGGTGTGGAAGCTGTAGAGTGGCCTGGTTGAGTCACACAGTTTACCTTCTAGTCTATACATCTTTACTTGTAAGTGTTCATTGCTATGAGTCATTGGTCTGTCTTGAGGCATCTGGTTTCTTCTACACCACCAATACTGGGCTCTCACTGGAGCTTCTCTTGGATATCCTGTTGTTGCCCTGTGTCATGTTTGGATTTGTAGGTTAGTCTCCTTCTTATGCTCCAACAGTTCATAGATTCAGTGGATGCTGGGATGGGCTGGGTGTTGCCTGGGTTGGTCAGCTCTCTAGCTTTCCCTCAATATCACTACCCCAATGAGCATCCCAGCACTGCCTTGGCTAGCTCACCCAGTGCAGCCTAGAAGCAAGAAGCAGGGCCAGTTCTCCTGCTCTCCAGCCCTCAGATCCAGGTCCCCCACACTCATTATCAGCAGGGCCATCTCTACTTTTTTGCCTGGAAAGGTGCAGGGCCCTCTCTCAGATTGCTATAGGGGGGCATATGAGGTGGGGTGGGGTCAGTTCTCCTGCTCTCACATCCTCAGGGCTGGCTCACCTGCATCCCCAACAACAGGGTCAGCTCTAGTGTGCTGCCCAGTTGGGAAACAAGTGCTTTTTCGTGCACTGCAGCTGGTGAGGGTCAGGGCTAGCTCTCCTACTTTGTGACCCCCAGGGCCAGCTCTCTCACCTGACGCAGGTGGTAAGAGTGAGGGAGGGAGGACATCTTCCTCTCACCCATTTCACCACAAGACATAGGAAGGGGGGCAGGGTCAACTCTCTTGCTAGAATAACCTCAGGAATAGCTCTCCTGTGTTGCTGACTACAGGGTCAGCCTAGTGCTTCCCAGGGGAGCTGCATGCCTATGGTGAGGTGTGAGGTCACCTTTCCCAAATGCAGGGTGAGCTCTGAGAGGCAGGGCCAGCTTGCCTGCTGCAACATCCAGCCACAGCCAGAACCGGCAGCCCAGGGCCAGTAAAGGGTGGGACTGGCTCATCACGGCATGGTCCCCATGCTAACACCGGCCATAGACATCACCACAGAAATCAGCTGCAGCAGGTCCATGGACCATGGCCTTCAAGGGAAGCTCAGGCCCAGATGCCATCATAGCCCCAGTGGCAGCACAGGACCCTCAAATCAGCACCTTCTCAGGAGCAGCATGGCTCCCAGACATCAACGTGGTCCTAGATGGCTGGCCAGACCCTGGGCATCTGCAGAGCCCTTGTTGGCAACTGGAGCCATAGACACAACCCCAGACCTAGGCTTCCACAGGGCCATGGACCCAGACAAGGTACTAGACACTGACCCATGCCTGGAGGTCTCCATGGCTAAGGTGACAGCCCTAGACACCCACATTGGCCTGGTACCGGAAGAGGCACAGCCTTTAGACATGAACATGGTCACAGGTTGAGGCCCAGACCCTGAGAAGCAACGTGGGCCCTGGCAGCAACATGGGCCAGGCAGCCCCCACCTGCGGCAGGACCATGGACCCAGACATG